CGGGTGTGAATGAATTGACTTAACATTCACCATAAGAGCTAAGTCACCTATCATGTGGTGAGAAGCACCTGAATCGATAATAAAATCAGTATGACATGCGTTACCAGTAGTGCGGTCCGATGATGGTTGTCTCTGTGCACCTAAAAGGGTCAGGAGTGCATGATATTGGTCAGTGTTGAGACCGGGAATCACGCTCACATCCGAGGATTGAACAGCCGATGCAACTGTAGTAGAAGATGTCGGACTAGCTTGGATAGAATTAGCCATTCCTCGTCCTTTTCCGCGTCCGCCGGTAGAGCTTCTTCCACGTCCGTGACTTCCACGTGGCCTATCACCCCACCAATCGGGATAACCATTCAAGGAAAAACAACTCTGCATTGCATGTCCAACTCGTCCACAATGTGTGCATGTCAAAGAATCATCTCGTATGCGAGTAGCCGCAACACGAGGTGATTGGGCTGCAAAACTCAATCCCGCGAGACGTTCTTCCTGTTTGTTCACGACGGTGAACTGCCTCTCTGCTTCGACCACAATAGCATATGCCGAGTCGATGTCCGGTAAAGTCCTCATCGCCATTATGTTCGTGCGGATATGTCCAAATCGAGTAGTGTCGAGCCCCATGAGAAATTGATGGAGACGTTCTTCATCTCTCTCTTGAGCTAATTCCGCCGTAAGTGTGCCGCAACGACATGATTTGAGAGGCTTGTAATTGGCTAGTTCTTGCCACATTCTCTCGAGCTTGCCGAAGTAGTCACACACAGATAATCCCTCTTGTCGACAATTCGCAATTTCATGTCGGAGTTGAAGCACACGAGTTGAGTTTCCGAGGGACATACGTCTACGTATGTTATCCCAAAGTTCCTTTGCAGTCGATCCATAAGCAAACGAAGAGCGAAGAGACGGTGATATGGTATTCATAATCCAGGCCATGAGCATCGAGTTCACCGCCTTCCAACGATTATAATCCAAAGTACCTGATTCGGGTTGCTTGATATCATCGTCAATAAAATTCAACTTCATCTTTGCGCTTAAAGCATTGCGCATCGCCTCACTCCATTTGTCGTAGTTTTCTTTCGTCAATTCCACCGTAGAAATAATCATACCCGGATGATCTGCAGGATGGACATGAAAGAGAGACACAGCCTCGGTCTCCATAGACACACCATACCCGGATCTCCGATTTTCCTTCTTGCCGGTCACGGCCGCAGAAGAATCACCAGACACGGTGATTTGTTTGGGACCAGTCACGGTCGTAGGACTCTTCTCATCGTCAGAAGAGTTGGAATGAGTGGAAACCATAGGTAACCAATTTCCAAAGTCTGAAAAAAATAGAAGAAAAAAAACGTGCAACGAAAACAACCCTAGAGTTGCTCTGATACCATGATATGTCTTGGAAAAATCAATCTTAGGGTTTCTCATTAGCTACGCATGTATGTATACAAAGTTGGAGAGAGTACTTAACAAGGAAAAAGGAAATATGAGCCAAATAAGGAAACTATACAAATCCTAATATATTTACATATCGTAATACAGCTGTTGAAGAAAACGCTAACGCGGTTGCAGAACGCCAACGATCTTGGCTGGATTCGAAACTGGATCTTTGAAGGCAGAGGAGGAGGTCCATCAAAAATGCAGAATATGCGTAAGAAACAGAAACTGTGTGAGTGGGTGGGTTTAGATTTTTGAAACGGCTCAGTCACTTTGGCGGGAGGCTTCCTTCCCAAAAGTCCCAACTTGAAGAACCTTTCTCTGTTTCTCTCTCAACGGCTTTAAACACGAGAGAAACATGTGGTTTTGTCTTGTCTTGTTTTTGGTCAAAGCGTTTAAAACGATGGGTAGGATTAGGATGTGTGTCACATGTGTTTCGAAATGCGAAGTAAGGAAAGACCAAAGACTTCGAAAGTGTTTGTTTTTGGAGAGACCCGACGGAATAAATGGAAGATCTCATCTTTTTTTTTTTCTTTTGGATATATGCTTTCTCTTGATCACACGACCCATTTAATGCATGCTAAATAAATAGGCACGTAAAATGGTCCTTTTTAATATAGGAAAGAAGAAAATTGGCTTCTTCTATTGTATTAATTTCGCCAAAACACCCTTTACATTTTCACATATATATATATATTCGTCTTTAAAATTTCTTAAAATCGGCCCACTAAATGGTTCTCCATTGTCATTAGAGATGTAAAACGAACCCGACTTGTGGCCTAGAACCAGAGCCGTCTCATAGATTTGAGAGGCTCTGTTCAATTATGTATTTATTATTTTTTTTTATAATTTTTTTAATTTAATTAATATTTTTTTAAAATAAATATATTATATAATATATACAATTTTATATTATATAAAAATTAAACAAAAATTAGAAAAATATATATTATTTATTACAATAAAATTTAAAATAATTATTACTTATTATTTTTAAAGAGTAATACAAATTAAAATCAAATTTATTGTTATGAAACTTTTGATTTTTATACTAATTTTGTTTATTTTTTAA